ACTTGCCCTTTTGGAACATATGCGTTTAAGAAAATGCATTTTGGTTTATGCAATGCACCAACAACATTTCAAAGATGCATGATGAGTATTTTCACTGAATTTTCTTCTAAAATCATGGAAGTTTTTATGGATGACTTTACAGTATATGGAAATAGCTTTCAAGAATGCTTGCATAACCTGACTTTAGTTTTAAAAAGGTGCATTGAAGTTAAGTTGGTGCTGAATTTTGAAAAATGTCACTTCATGGTTGAGAAAGGGGTAGTACTAGGTCATGTGGTTTCTTCTAAAGGGATGGAAGTTGATCCAGCAAAAGTGGACATAATTAAAACACTTCCTTACCCCAAAAATCTGAAAGACATTAGATCTTTTTTAGGCCATGCTGGGTTCTATAGGAGGTTCATTAAAGATTTTTCCAAAATAGCTTTGCCTCTTACTGCTTTGATTTGAAAAGACACCCCATTTGTTTTTGATGAGAAATGTAAACAATCTTTTGATCTTATAAAAGAAAAACTCACTTCAGCCCCCATAATGCAGCCACCAAATTGGGCTTACCCCTTTGAATTAATGTGTGATGCAAGTGACTGGGCAGTTGGGGCTGTTTTGGGGCAAACATATGGGAACCAATCTTATGTGATTTCACATTCTAGCACTACACTCGACCCAGCCGAAAGAAATTATACCACAACAGAGAAAGAAATGTATGCTGTAATCTTTGCTCTAGAGAAATATAGAATATACCTGTTAGGAGTTAAGATAACCATTTACACTGATCATTCAGCTTTGAAATACTTAATAAAGAAGCAACACACTAAGAAAAGATTGATTAGATGGATTTTGTTGATGGAAGAGTTTCAGTATGAAATAAAAGACAGGGCAGGAAGTGTTATATCCGGGCCTGGCCTATCATACCCTCCCCCATGTCCCACACCCTCACAAAAACCAGAGGACTTACGTTCAAACATTATGATCCGTTTTAGTGAGAATTCTGAGTCCTTCAACCCAAGAGGCCAGAATAACTTCGGACCCAAGGGTTCCACATGTCGACTCCCACTTCGTCCAACCCAACCCAAAATATCCAAAACTCCTTGCCATTAATTTCACTTCAAAATAAAGTTTTTATTACTCTTATTTTAGCCCCTGGCCGAAAATAAGAGTGTGCAAACCAAAACCGTTTGTTTGTTGTTATTTTCCTTCTTTTAAGCCTTTTATTAAACAAATAAAACCCTCCCTTTATTCCATTCATCCCCTGGCCAAAATACACTTCACAATCCCAACATAAACACCCACAAAGAGCCAAAACCTTGACGCACCACTAGCCACTCATTCCTGCCCATGTCCCTCACAAATAACCCAAACCCATATGTCCAAAACCACCCCTAATATTACCCAGCTCTGTCCCCTTTTATTAGCCAAAACAACCCCCCATTTTTACCCAAATAATAGCCACAAAAACCAGGAAACAACCACTACAAACCTAAAACCCGAAACCCCACAACCCCAGCCCATTCCTGATTTTAGTCCACTTTGGAGACAAGATTAAATGAAGGTTACCCCATACTTTGGAAGTGGATGTTGCTAGGAAGCTTCCTCATGTTCACACTCAATGTATTATGTATTTTTCCCTTCCCCTCTCCCTATATAATCAGGCCCTATGGACATTGTAAACACAACCTTGAATATTAACACTCCCTTTTACTCTTTGAGTATTTATAAAATAGTGTGATGCTATTTTAGCCAAATTCCTAATTCTATATCTTAAGAGTGGTTATCTTATGTGTGAGTTTTAGGTTCTAGATATTTGATTAAGTGTGTAACATCTCTTAAATACCAACTTGGTTTATCCATCCCTGATTTTCTTCCATTTCATACCTCCCCATATTCTCTTCCTAAACCTCTTCTTTTTCTTCATAAAAAAACACCAAAAAGAACTCCAAAAACACCTCCCATATTTCTCCCCATATACTTCCGTGTTCATTTCCTCCACAAATTCACCACAAAACTAGCAACTTGATGAGACCCCCGGTTCACCCCTAACAGGAAGGTTGAATCAGGTGGCTGATCACCTCAGTAGGATAGAAAACAATAAAGAAAATCTAGATCCTTTCACTGGGACCTTTCCAGATGAGAGTTTATACTTTGCTTCTCATGTTCCTTGGTTTTCTGATATTGTTAACTACATAGTCACCGGAGCCTTTCCCCCTGGAATGCCTAGTTCATTAAGAGAAAAGATTCAATCTCAAGCAAGGTTTTACATTTGGGATAACCCATACCTGTGGAAAATGTGCTCTGACCAAGTGGTAAGAAAGTGTGTAGGAGATTATGAGATAAATTCAATTTTGCATTTTTGTCACACTTTAGAGGGTGGGGGACATCTAGGACCTCAAAGAACAGCCCATAAGATTCTTGAATGTGGTTTTTTTGGCCTACAATATATAAGGATAGTGCTGAATTTTGTAAATGTTGTCCTGAATGTCAAAAAACTGGAAGCTTGTCTCAAAAAGATCAAATGCCACTGAAATCCATTTTTGTTTGTGAATTGTTTGATGTTTGGGGTATGGACTTTATGGGGCCTTTTCCCAATTCTTTTGGAAACACTTATATTCTCTTATTTGTTGATTATCTTTCAAAATGGGTTGAAGCAGTTCCTACTAAAACTGATGATGCCAAAACAGTAGCTAAATCTGCTCAAAGTCTGGTCATTAACAGGTATGGAGTGCCTAAGGCATTCACCAGTGATAGGGGAACTCATTTCTGCAACAAAGTCCTGAGCCAACTATTTTCAAAATATCACATAACTCAGAAAATTTCCACAGCTTACCATCCACAAACAAATGGCCAGGCTGAAGTTTCAAATAAAGAATTAAAGAGATTTTTGGAGAAAATAGTCAGACCTGATAGAAAAGATTGGAGTTTAAGGCTAGATGAGGCCTTATGGGCCTATAGGACAGCATTTAAAACACCAATAGGCATGTCTCCTTATAGGTTAGTTTTTGGGAAAGCGTGTCACTTACCTGTTGAGATTGAACATAAGAGTTACTGGGCTGTCACGACCAGGGGCGGCCTTGGGCCTGTGCAGGCTGTTCAACCGCACAGGGCCCTAAGGAAAACAAGGCCCAATTTTTTGTTAAAGCCTGTAGGATGGGTAGGGTATGTAATAAGAGGTCCAAAACGAAAAAAAACAGTTCTTAGCAGCCACAGGTGGGAGGTGAGGGAACCAGGGCAGAGACAGAGGAAGAAGAAGAGTTGCGTCATCTTCACTGTGGCCGGCTGCCCGCCTTACCGCTACGCCGTCTAACACTTCCGCATTTACTTCAGTCTTCCCGTATGAACATGTGATTTACTTTAATTTTTTGAAATGATCAAATCCATAGTTTTATTTGTTTTTTAAATTTTTAAATGTGCGATTTATGTTTTATTCTTCTACAGTTCTATAAAATTTGATTTTTAATTAGAATGATTAATGAATTGAAGTTTGATAAAAAAAAATCAGTTTTTTTTAATTTTTCCTCTTTTAGAAGTTTTTATTGCTAATTGTTTCAAAATCTTCAAATGTGAGAGTTTGGAACAAGTGCAAATGCAGAGCTTGATTGACGATTTTGCATCAAAATGTGCAAGGAGAATGTCTCTTTTTATGTAAACTTGTAGTGATGTTTTCTTCTTCATTGCAACAGATTCAATAATTATTATGAAATTTCTTTAAATTTTACATTTATTAGATATGATACTCCATAGAGGCTATTTTTTTTGTTTTCGCACAGGGCCAGTTTCTGCTTCGTGCCGGTCCTGGTCACGACAGTTAATTTAGAATATGATAAGGCTGGTAGAGAAAGAAAAATACAACTCTCTGAACTAGAAGAAATCCGGCTTGAGGCATATGATAACTCAGTAATTTATAAGGGAAAAGCCAAGGCATTCCATGATGCAAAACTGACCAGAAAATCTTTCGAGGCAGGAGATAAGGTTTTACTTTACCAATCCAAATTTCATTTGTTTCCAGGAAAACTAAGATCTAGGGGGAAAGGTCCTTATGAAGTGCTTAAAGCTTATAACCATGGGGCTGTTGATATAAGAAGCCTTGCTACTAACAAAATTTTCAAAGTAAATGGCCATAGGTTGAAGCTTTACAGGGAAGGTGTCCAGGTAGGACTCGTGGAGGAGATAATTCTAGAGGACATTCCTCTAGACGTTTGGTTGGAGATGTAGTCAAGCTTGCAAGGGTCTAGCCAAGACCATAAAGAGGGCAGCTAACTTGGAGGCAACCCAGCATTAAAAAAAACACTTTCTTTTAATATTTTTCAATTACATTCTGCATTTTTCAATTTTTTTCCCCACCCTCTCTATTTTTTTTCTCTCACCCACCCATTCCATATCCCCTTCTTTTTACCCCCTTCTCTTGCACACATGTTCTATGCAATTTACAGGGCTATTGCTTGTTTTTACACACTGAGGACAGTGCAAAAGGTAAGTGTGGGGGGTGCTTATATATATTTCAATCCTTCTAACTTGAAGAGACAAGGTACGCATCTCTTAAGTATTCATTGGCTCCTAGATTGCTGAGAAATAGGTTGACATGAGGAAAGTTGCTGAATTTTGATGGTGAATTTGTCTCTTTGATTCTGATTCAATGTCTTTGGTATTATAACAGCCCTGATTGTCCCCTCTGTTCTGACTGTTTCTCATTTCAAATGATGATTTTAGTATAAGGGGGCTATGAACATGTTGCTTTTCTACATGCATCACTTGTAGGAGGCCTTATATGCATAAAAAAACTGCATTAAACTGTCCATTTAAGCATATTTAGGGGCTGATTTGTTAGTTTAAACCTGGCCAGTTTGGAATGCATTTATTCTTCTTAAGATTCTGCAGATTTAAAGATGCATTTATACCTTAAGGGTCTCATACCTGGTTGCTAGAATCTTAGGAAAATCTGCATTTTAGATGTGATTGGTTAAAAAAAGAGTTTAAAAGTTTTTAAGTTTTTAAAAGAAAACTTAGGTTAAGGAAAAAAGTAAGCATCTCAAAAGAAATTAGGAATCACAATAGTTTCCTTTATCTTTTAGCACTCTAACGGTTGCATTTTAGCATTAAATTTAAATTAAAGTTGTAACAAATAGGGTTGAGTGTTTTAAAAGTGAGTTTGCTACTTTCAAGTTTAAATCTTTGCTTTTAAGTCATAGCTAATCAGAACCTAGTTTTATTTAATCTCATACTTTTCAATTAGTTAAGTTCAATGTGCACAATTTATTTAGAAGTGTTTAGAGCAGTTTTTTTCCTAACTCTTTTTTGTCCTAAGTTGCTTTTCAAGTAAAGACAATCTTTTGGAAATCTCTTTTCTTACCTAAATTTTGGTTATCTACATATTATCAAGATGCTGAAATGAATAAATGTGTATACTGGAACACCATCTTAGGTTGGCATGGGTGGCACGACACTTTTGTCCCCTAAAGCAACAGATCCCAAAAGGAAGTGATGTTGTGTATGGAGAAAACCTGAGTTGGAAGAGCAAACCCCATTTTTGGGCTGTATGAATCTCGTCCATAACTAGTTCAAATAAAAAGAACCGACGCCATTGAGCCCAAAAAAAGAGGCAATAAATGGCTAGGAACAAAAAAAGGAGAGAATAAATAAATGAGTAAAAATGGTGTTTGAGCACTCGAGTTGATACCCTCGGAATACTTCATTATTTAGGTCCTGGGCTATCTGGAATGGGTCTGGGGTAGCCTGGTTGAGACTCGCTACACGAGTCAACTCAAACAACTAAAAATTAATTACTAAATGAAAGCAATAATTAAAAGTTCTAGATTTTAGGAAAGAAAATAAATTTTCTTAAGCCTTTCTTTACTTGATTGTTTCTTAGGATTTCTAACTACTTTTTACTGCTCTATTTATCTCTTTTAAATTGTTCTCAATGATCTTGGTTAATTTAAAGTTTTGACATCAAATGAAAATAGTTTCTACTTAGCATTGAAGCTAAGTGAAAGACTTGTTTTAAAGTTTAAAGTAGCAAGCTGATTTTTAAGGTGTTTACTCTGTTTGGTATAATTTTAATCTTTAGTTAATGTTTTAAGCAGCACCTTAGATTGTTGGAGATAAGGAAATTGTTGTGAATTCTGATTTTAACACAAAAAGAAAAAAAAAAGAGAAAAATGAATGTGAAAACATAATTTGCACAAGGGCATGCAAAAGGTTAAGTGTGGGGGTATTTGATAAGTCGTCAAATCTCACATTTTATTCGCCCATATTAGCACGTTTTAGTATATTCCGAATGCATTTTATACACATTTATTCACTATTATCTTCATATAGCAATTTAGGCCATTATTTATATTTTGATCATAAATTGCATTCTTTTGAGTATTTTTTTACTTCACTATTTTTATTATCTCATTTACATTGACGTAGGTCTTAAAAATTGTTTTATGAAGCATTAAAGGGCTCGGTGATGATGTCAAGTTAAATCCCTGGGAAGTTGTCAAGAATCATACAAAGAATTGAAATGGGCCAAGTCACACAGGACATGACCCAACAGTTCCGAGCAGCCCACAACGAGTAATTAAGTCAGGAGCCCAACCAACGGACAATCCAAACATCTTCAAAACTTAAACCTGCGCCACTCTTCGATCCTGCCAGCGGCTAACAAGAACGCAGCAACATAGAGACTCTGATTCAAACTGGAGTCCTAAT